CCGGGGCACGCACAGGGCCGAAGCTGGAGCGGCCGGCAGAAAGCAGGCGCAGGGTGAAAGAGCCGGGCACAAAGCAACTCACAAACCATAAATGCAAGAGAAAATAGCTGGGGCAGAAAGGACAGGTGCTCCTCAAAGAAGAATCCCGAGGACGCTGCCAGTTCTGCCGCCGGGCGGCCGGCTGAGGGAGTCGGGCGCGGCGAGCTAGCCGCAGGGAAGTAGGCCGCTTGGACAACCCGAAGACCTCCCTGCGCCGAGTCACCGAAACTGGGAGACAGAGACCCCGACGGAGCGGGGCGGCGCCGCCAGCCGCCAGCGCCTGTGTGGAGACGGGAGGCAGAAGGCCCCTGCCGCCTGCCCGGTCATCAGTTATGAATATAGCTCGATTCATGGGTTTCGTCAGATGTAGAGCGGCAATAAAATGTGATTGACTAAAAACAATTAAAACAGTAAAAGTAAATTGTTTGTGTCCATTAAAACCTGCTGAGGCCATCAGTTGAAAATTGTGGGCTTCCGTGTGAAAATTAAAACTATTGATTCCGTGTGCAGGCGGTCCCGCCTCCCGGGCTTCGTGGGTACCTGCCGAGCCGGGGTCACAGGGAGGGCCCCCCCAGCTCACAAAGAGCGGGGAGACAGACCGGCGTGGGGCTGTGGCCGTGCCGCGGCATTAATGCCCGGTGATTTACGGCGTGTTTGGGGTGGAGATGGAAAATCCACTGCAGAATATGCGATATTCAGGGCTGAATTTTTAGGGCTTTGTCGTAATTTATGGGCCTGAGATAGGTATTTTTTATTGTTGTCATTTTATTTTTTATGCACCACACTAAATCTTGCATCGGGTGAACTGTTATTTTTTAGTGTTCAATTAAAACGCGGACATGAAAGGGGCCTGGCCAGGTCATACCTCGATGTATAGGAGGAAAACTTGGGGGGGTCCTGTCATCCGAAGGGGTGTTTGGCCAAGAGACACGACGGGCCAGACCTAGAAGACTGAAACAGCCGTGCCAGGCGCCGGTCCCGGCGCTGTCCTCACTCGCGGCGGGTGGCGCCCGCGGCGCCGGGAGCCTGGGGGGGCGCGGCCACCTTGCCCTTTCCCAGAGCCGGGCGCACCCCGAGGCGGCGCTGGGCCGCAGACCGCGTACACCCCGACCTCAGGGGAAGAGGCTCCGTGGCTTCCTTGCCCCAGGGTTTGGGGCTCACTTTAGCTTCACTGAGGAGGTGGGCCAGGGGGAACACACCTGGGCCGGGGACCCGCAGCCTGCACCCCAACACCACACTCCTGCCTCCAGGCCTGGGTGGGGCCGTGACGCCCCAGGGCTGATTCTCCCGCGCTCCTTGCGCCCCTCTGTGCCCTGTGGCCCCCACCTCCTGGCCCTGCCCTGGCCTGGCTGCCGGCCCCAGGCCGCCCACTGTCTGAGCCCAGGGGCAGTGCCCAGCGGTGGGGGGGCTCCGGGGTGGATGGGGGGTGGCGTGTGGCTGTGGTGGGCACACTGGCCAGAAACACACTGGGCAGGGCGCTGACCCGCTACAAACCTCCAAGGCAGCTGCCCCTGGGCTGTCTGCGGGGGTGGGGGGCACAGCACAGGTGAGTGGTGCTGCGGGTGTTGCGGGCAGGTGAGGGACCCGCCCTGGAGCATCGGGGCAGGGCTGGGCGGGGTCGCGCCATCCCAGGGCTTCTGGCAGCGGGAGGAGCCGGCTGCCCGCCTCGGAGCAGCGTCCTCAGGGCCTCGGGCGGAGCCTGACGCCCTCGGCCAGCGCATCGTGGAGGCCAGCCGCTGGCTGGATGCCCCAGCAGCTAGTGGCCTGCACCGGCACACGTGGGGCACACACGGGCCGCGGGGA